TTATTATTATTATTATTATTATTTTGTCAGTCGGGAGCTTGAACTCTGGACCTGGGCACTCTCCCTGAGCTCTTCAACTCAGGCAAGTGTTCTACCACTTCAGCTGCAGCACCACTTCCAGTTTTCTGGTGGTTCATTGGAGATAAGAGTCTCACATACTTTCCTGCCCAGCCTGGCTTCGAACCACGATCCTCAGATCTCAGCCTCCTGGGTAGCTAGGATTACAGGTGTGAGCACCAGCTCCCGGCTTCCATGTTCTTCTGTTCTGAATTTAAAATCATCTACATTTCAATGCAACTGAACTCCGTACACCTAAGATGCTGGTTCTTTACCTTGACTCATGTAAATTCCTCTTCCTTGGAATTTGTTTCTCTAGCTCAACTTTTCAAAGTTCCTCTCCTCCTCCATATTTCATGGTTTTCCCCATCCTTTAGGCTGCACAAAGACCTCATCGTATCCCCTAATTTATTAATTTCCTCACAGATTGACAGTTCCCTTCTCTAGATCCATGGCAGTTTTGTTTATTTCTGACTTCTCATTTATGTGTTGAACTACAGACTTAAAATAGCTAAAGTCACTGTTACTCAGTGAGCTTTTACCCAGCCCTGTATGACACATATTTAATTCCTACAGCCACATAGATTATTGTCCAGAATTAGTCACATGACCACAGTTACAACTAGGAAAGCACATCGTCTTCCCAAGTGCTGGGTCTACCAGATGAACAAACAGTATTATTATTATCCTCATCCTACCAATAAGATAAGGTCTAGAGAGGTTAAGGGCTTGAAGAAAGTCATTGGAAGAAACAAAAGTGAGACTACTTCCCAACTGCTCCCTCTTCCCCATGACCACCAGGGAAAGGACAGAGAAAGAGCATAGAACTGGGCACTGACGTTAGGTCCAGGCTGGGACCAGGCTTAAGTCGTGTCCATACAGCCTACCAGGTGCTTGCTTTAATGAGCAATAGCTTCCTCCTCATGAAAGAAAATGATTTTAACTCACCGGACAGTCATGCTTTGGTTATGAGTATGGTAGGCCTGGCATACAGTAGGGATAGAGTAAGTAGTGGACACTGGCAGTAGTATTTACCCCTCAGAAGGGACATTTTGGCAGAAGTACTGATTATCTTTTTTAAGTCGCCAATGCTGCCTGGTACTTTGGTACCTGAGCAAGTCATCCTTTCTAAGCAGCACTTCACAAAGGAGAGTGAAACACTCACTGATACCACCACAACAGCAACCAATCCCAATTCCAGGACGATAGTGTTGAACAAGCCTGCAAAAATGAGCAAGATGGAAAAGACAGGGGAAGAAATGTACATCGCAGGAGCTTTTCATACCTTTGGGTAAAAGAATCACAGCAAGCAGGAGTCCACACATGTGGAAACATTTTTATCTTGGTTTGTCATTACTCCTAAATGAAATGTGAGACCTGATTAGCCATAATCACCTCAGCAGCAGCATGGAACTTTCCTGTATCTTCTCTTCTTGAAAGTGTTGGAAGCTTTTACTGTAGAATGTTTGCTTTGCTTTGGTAAGTAGGAATGAAACCAGTTTTGCTCCCCTTCTGCTTTAGTTCCAATTTGCTAGGATCTTTAAGAGATAGACTTGCTTGTCCTAGAACTTCCCTACACCGCCTTTCTCGTGCTATTTGTTAAAATATGGAATGCTGGTGTCACTCCACAACTGAGAAGATCTCTGATTGACTTTGCCTTTAAGATGTTTCCTTAATTGTTGGTGTACTTAAATTCCAGATTCCTGCCCTATATTTTAGTCTGCCCACCACTGCTATTTTTCTTTCCATTCAAGACAGAAAAAAAAATGCTGTATGGTCACAGTTATAAGAATACTGTTTCAGTATTTCATGGTTCGCACAAGAAATATGGTGCTAGAAAAGTGAATCTTAATAATAAACATGATTGCACTATACATCAGTTCAACACTTTTCTACTTTTAGTTCTCTAAGGTTTTTTTTTTTTAGTTTGCAATTATTTGCTTTCGTTGTTGGGAAGGTTTTATCAAAGAGTAGCAGTTGTAGTAATCATGTGATGTCTAATATCAAGATGCAGGAGCCGTAGTAATAAGGTTAAGTTTACAAGTTAGCTAATCCCCCAGGATTTGGAAAGGGAGGCGTTCATTTTTATTTTTTGAGACAGTGCATTATCCATTCAAGCATAGGCTGGTCTGGGATTCTCAGTCCTCCCGATTTCTGGGATTACAGTCGTGAACACCGGGTACAGCAGGATGTGTACCTGCTTCTATTCCTGCGATAGAATTTCATCAATGAGTGATGGAAGCTTAGGAAAAGCTAAGGACACTGGCCTAAGATAGGAAAGTCCGGAAGCACCGCGTCCCGCAGTGTGCATTTCAGGAGTCTTGGCCTGCTTGTCAGCGAGCAGTCACTATAGGCTTTGCTGCTGCCTTGAAGGGCGGGACCTTGTCTTCTTCATCTCCGTACCCAGTTCCTGGCACAGAACAGGATGGAACAAGAGGGTGACGTAACTAGGGTGCTATTTTAGGAAGATAAATCTGGCGACGATGAGTGGGATGAGGAGAACAGGAGAAGGCCTGGCAGAGCGGAGAGGGGTGTAGATGCTACCGCGGTAACAGACAGCAGAAGATAATGAGGCTGAACGGGGCGGCGGCTGAGGCAGCACGAGTGCATCAGAGCTGGTGACTGGGTGGAGAAGCGGAGGAGGTGTCCCCATCACCCAGCCAGTGTGTCTTGAGCATCCGCTGTGGCCAGGAACTATCGCAGTTCAGGGATGCAGCCAGGAACTACGCGAGGGATGCCTATTGAAGGAGGTCGGGTTCTCTAGAGAAGGGGAGTCAGAGGGAGATAGACAGAGAGCTAGGTAGAGGAGGGCTACATGTCAGGGCTGGCAGGTTGTAGGTCTTCAGGGCAGGTCTATAGTCTGTAACCCATGAGTGGATGCTACAGTCACAAGGTGGAATTTCTTCACAGGGAAACCTCATCATTACTCTGAAAACCTTTCAAATGATTGGATAAGACGTACTTAGGTTATTAAGCATAATCTCCTTTGCTCAAAGCTCACCAATTGTAGGCATAATCTACACTTGCATACCAAGGGCTAGATGCGTGGTGTCTGCGCATTGCTGAGTAGACCCAGGGAAACGCACAGAGGTCAGGCAGGCACGACAGAACTGTGGCGTGCTCGAGGACAGTGGGCAGCTGCTGTGGATCCAGGTTCCAGGAAAGCCTTCTCTGCTCGAGTCCACACGTCCCCATTGTGCAGGGCATGCTGGGACGGGAGGACACCAGGAGATTTGTCTAAGTCTTAAAATGGCTCACGGTTGGTCCTGCCAGCATCACGGCTCCCATCCATGTGCAAAAATCACACATGAGCCACCTGCCTCCTGGGTACCATCAGAGGGACCAGAATACTTGACTTTTCCTGGGAACGTCACCAGCTGGTGAGCAAGTTTGTGTACGGAACCTGTTTCTGGACAGTACAGTGTGACCCTAGGAAGGCCGGTATTATAACAGCGTCCTTTCTGCTTGTCACCCTCCTGCTCACTGCTGCACTGGGACTGGGGTGGCCTCCAAGTGCCCAGCTCAGGACTGCTGTACGGTCGCTCTGCAGGAACTGCTCATTTGGCCCAGAATGTTCTTCCTCTTATCCCTCTCCCCTTTGTGTGGACCATCTCCACAGAGCCCACACATCTCAGCCTTGTCCTTCCCCCTGCAAAGCCTGAGCTCCCGTGTGCACCCCGGTCATGAGTCCCCCACACACACATTCTCTGTTCTTCCGTCAGGCCACTGTCTTCACTCAGTCATCTATTTATATTGTATTTGATTAATATCTGCCTTTCCTGTTCCCCTAACCCAAGGTAAGGAGCCAGGCCACCATCATCAAGCAGTAAACTTGCAGGGCTTCTGGAACAATCACCTGGAAACACAATCCCATAGCCTGCTTGCTCGCTCTTCCTTTTTCTAAGCCCCAGTCAGGCCTGATCCCATTCATGTCTCAGCCCATCCTTGGCGTGTGAATTCTTCTGAATTTCAGTTTAACCGAACTCTTCCCCAAGTCAGGAGGTTCTTTTTAAACAGTTGAGCCCAGGACCCCCTAGCACAAAGCACATGAGCTTTTCAGAACGGTGAGAACAAGGATGAAAAGTGGAGAGCAGGTGGAAATATCTGAGACTCGTGCCCTGAGGAGCAGAGAGTCAGGAATGGATGGGATGTTCTGAGGAAGCCCCCTTGAGGAAACAGGAAGTACTCGCTCTTTGTACCCCCACCCCATGGGAAATTCTGGATGGTTCTGCCCAGGATCTAAAGTCTCTGAGTAAGAAGAGAAACTTTTGACTGGAGTAGCGAGTGGGTTGGGGATCCACCTTGCTGCTCCCCCATGCACCTGCTTGTCAGATGAAGGCTCAGGACACGTGGCACTTGACCTTGGCAGTGCAGGTGAGCACCTTGCTAAAGACAGGCCTGCTCCCGCGTGCCCACTCCACGCCGCCCTCCTCACTGGCTACTGCGTTGACAGCCAGAGCAACGTTAGGTGTCTATGTGCTGTGAAATGCTCCAGGTACCCCTCTGCCCTTTTATACTAGCACCCAAAATACAAATAGAACTCAGCCTTTGCTCGGTAACTGTCTTCAGATTTTGTAGCAAAAGGAATTGGAGATTTTTGAAAAAGAGCCTCCATCAAATCCTCCCTCGGGGCCTTGTACAAATTTTCCCATTTGTGTTGTTGCCATTAAACATTCTTCTGGTTGAGAATGAGAGAAATCTCTCCCTTTCGGCATTTCTCTGTCTTCTAGAGCGCATGCGCTGCAAATCCTGGGAATCCAGACAGATGTGGGGCTGGCTCATCACAACTGATAGTGGAACACACTTCAGCCCAGGACCTAGGTGGCAGGGGCTCACATCTTGACCCTGCCACTGAGCAGTTCCGTGACCCTGGACAAGTAGCTGGGCTGCAGGGGACTTAGGCAGAGTCTGCACTTACCAGCGCTCTATGGTTCTCATTGCAGGCATCTTTTCCACAAGTCCTGTGTTGACCCCTGGCTTCTAGACCATCGCACCTGCCCCATGTGCAAGATGAACATTCTTAAAGCCCTAGGGATCCCGGTAAGCACAACACAGCTGACACCATCGTAATGTCTGTCTTTCTGCATTACACCAAAGCAGGGGCCAACTCTTAGCTGGATTTTCTGTGTCCATCCAGCCACACAGCAGTGGCTGTATCCAGTGAGGCCTCCAGAGAACTCAAGAAACATTCCTCCTCTTGTTCTTTCTCAGCCTAGGACACCCAGATCCTTGGCCGTGTCATTGTTTTTGTGCGTGAGTCAGGGTGGCAGCAGGCAGCTCCCGGGGACCTCGTCTGGGGGGACTGGTACGCAGGAGATAGGACGAGCAGTCGCCCATTGGCTGCCGCTTGGGCGGCCACCCTGCTCAGTCCTCGAGGAGCTGTGCGTGCACGTTGCTCATCTGGCCTCATGGGCTTCTGGCTGTGACAGGGAAATGACTGTTTCCCCACCCCCAGCACTGGGAAGCAAGGACAGTGGCTGAGAAGTGAGCTCAGAACCACATCTCTGCAGGGACCTGGATGGAACCGGAAAGTTAAGCCAGAACTGTTGATTCTAGCTCTCCCATAGAGGCGAGTCTGCAGTTCCACGTTTAATCTCCTCCCCAGGGCAGAGAGCCCGGCCAGCTGGCTACATGCTCCAGGGAAAGGTTTTCCCAGAGCCATATCTCGTGAAGCCCACCGGTGGTGGCGGTGAGACTCAGCCACTCCTAGCAGAGGAGGGCAGGGAGCAGGCCAGGCGCCTAAGTCCAAGCACTGCGCACAGAGATGGGAGGGAAACCACACAAGCAAATTCTAGAAAGCAGCCCCCCTCCCCTCCCCGCAGTCAGTCCATGCTCTCTCCTCACGGCCAATGGCAGAGACTAAAGGGAACATGACCTGCCCCTAGCAGGAGGAGGATCGGATCATGTATTGGAGATTTCTTTAATGCCAAAAGCCCACTTAAAAATATCAGTGACTGTCGCAGATGGCAGAGCTGATGATGATGAGGCCAGGCCCTGGCTGCTTTTCCAGTCCTGGGCCAGCTGCCTTTGTGCCAACCATATGCCCGTTCACAGGATTGATCCGCCACACACAAATCAACCTACATGACGATAGCTCTGAACTACCTTGAAAGACAGTGTCTTACATGTTCAGGCCAGAGATGTAAATGCATAGTGCACTCACAGTAAAAATCCACTACAGCCAATGTGAAACATTAAGAGAGACTAGCCTTTCTACCAGACACTGGTGACAAAGAAAAAAAATCAAACTTCACACCAAGCATGGTGGTTCAGGCCTGTAATCCTGGTTACGTGAAAGGTGGCTGATCTTGATTCCAGCCAGGGCAAAAAGTTTGAGAGATACCATAGCTGGGCATGGTGGCATATACCTGTTGCCCCACGATGAAGAAGACAGTGGCTGTACACAGTAAGGTTCATCCATCATCCTCAGCAACACAGGGGAAACACAATGCTATTACAATAGCATCACAGCCCAGGCTAGCCTGTGCATAAAGTGAGACTCTACCTCAAAATTAATCAGTGCAGAAGGGAGCTAGAAGTGAAGCAGAGACCCTGCCTAGCAAGCATGAGGTCCTGAGTAAACCTCTATTAGTGCCAAACATACACACACATATGCACACACACACACACACACAAACACACACACACACAAAAGACTGCCATCTTTGTGTTCTGTGTACTTCTGACTGTAACTGACTATTTTAAGGGAGCCAGTAAATGTGGGGTATATATGTGTGTCTTTGCTCTCTAAACCCTTCACCATCTTCATAATTAAAGGAAGCCGGATTGTACATTGTGACCTAGTTCCTATGGCTCAGGATGTTTTTCAAAGTCTATGTGTCAGCCTGGATCTTCGGTCAGGATAATGAAACCAAACAACCTCATGGCACTTAAATTTTGGACTAAACAGTTTCTGACTCCAAACTTTTCCCCTCGAGGTAGCTATCATTTCTCCAGGGGCTACTTGCAGAAAAGTTACAAATATGACTATGAATGGCTGCTAAAATAATAGAATTCCTCGGTAGTTGTTGGGATTGTTCTCAAATGTACTGAGATTGTGCATTTTAGCAGCTGAACATTCTGGCCATACTCTAGTGCCTACCAAGTAGGGCAGGATTTTACTTAATTCAGAGGAAAATAAACGTTGGTCTCATCTTTTGGATTTTTCCAAGGATTTTGAACATAACGGTCAGCCAAGCTCAACCCGCCGAACAGCACATCCTCCGTGAAAAATAAAGCACAAGTAGCAGGGGATAGCGCAGGAAGCCCAGGCATTTCCCGGCCCGCCCGCCACAGAGGCCTCTTCTGTTTTGTCCTAGAGAATGGCAAAGTCACAGCTCTGGAGGAATCTGGGGCTTGTTCCTTTCTATGCTAATGAGGCAGTTTCTGTGCCTTCATTAAAACCCTGCGTGTCATCTACAGGCTCTCTTAATTAGAAAAGGCTCCTTCTACCACAGTGTTCAATTGAGCTTAAAGAAATGGTGTTAGCGTTTTTAAAGACAGGGTCTCGCTATATATCTCAGGATGGCCTTAAACTTGCCATGTACTCCAGGCTGGTCTCAAACTCATAATCCTCCTGCTGTAGCCTCCAGAGGGCTAGGACTGTAGGCTCGCATGAACCCTCTTGGCTCACCATTTCTTTTTATTTAAAGAACACTGAAAAGACCTGTCGCTCTCTGATAAGTGGTGTCTGTTGATTCCTTCATTTCTGTGTCCTTTTCATGGACTTAAGTATTCGATAAATGTCTGTGAAATTATAGCACTTCCAAGTCTCAAAGGGTTTCAGTCCCAGACTCAGACTTTACAATTTACACTGATTCTCCTTGGAATAATAGCCTTGACTCACAGACACCCTGGCTGTAACCATCACCCACTAGGTCATTCCAATCCAGGCAGTACTGTTATATTATTTTTGTTTGCATCTTTTGATTTGGTTGTTTTCAACCAAGAATCCGTGTACCTGCCCATGCTGTAAGACAAATAGGTGTATGTCAAACGTGAAGAGCTGGGGTCACTTCTTTTTATTAGTGATTTCTCTGAAAGGAGCTAAAGAATGAGAGCACAGCTCACGGATCAAGAAGTGCCCCCCACAGCAGGGGTCTGTCCCCAGTATATTTTGCTCAAAGAACTATCACACTAAACTGGAAGTGTTGGGAGTTCTTGCCTATTGAAAGCATTTTATCCCTTGGCCCTACAGTACAGTGCTTTGATCCTACCTTCTACCAGCCAGGTCCAGAGCTGTTTTTGTACATCAGCCCAGATTAGTGGATCTCCTAAGCTACTGTAATAACACCAGCAGCCCCCTTGTCCCACCAACACTGTCCTGATGAAAGTAGGTTGATGGCTCCCTTCTAGAAAAGCCTGTGTACCTGATATTTCCACAGTTCTCCACTCTGTCGATCTATTTTCATTGCCCAATGCTGTGCTGAATTTCTGTACCTTCATGGGATTTGTTTGCAGACAGAATTTGATGTCTTTTTTTAAAATTCCAATTGTGACTTTTCCTAGAAGTATGTAACTGGGTTTCATTTCAAAAGGTTCTGTTGGATGAGCCACCTAGAGTGGATGTAACTGTCAGTTTTCCTTAGTGAACATCTTTCCATAGTGTATCTTACATTTTGCATGGAACTTCACAGCCCTTAAGGTATTTTCTCAAGTCTTCTTGTCACTCATCTTAATCAGATACATATGTGCCTACGTTTTTCAGGGCAGGAATCAGAGACTCAGATAAAACGTTTCCTGAACACATAGTTGTCGTGAGCAGAACACTTCATGATCCACACCATGTGATTGCTTCTCTTCACAATGCTCATGGCCAGGAGACAAAGCAAATACATGATCCTCAGCCACACGGAATAGGAGAGGTGCTGCAGGACTGGCAGCGGCTGCTTGGGAAGCAACACTGGCTAAAATGTAACACTGAGCTGGAATGAGGGGGCCTAGGAATCCGCCTGGATTGGAGACCTTGGGGATGGGAAAGGAGTGGTGCTGGGGACAGGTGACACTGAAGAGAGGGACGCACAGCTCCATTTCCAGAGGGTGAAGGTGAGGTCGCAGAGGTAGGCTGCCGCAGCTGCCAGGCGTCTGCCCTGTCACTCCCGGAAGCGTGTAATGAACTCCGGGGGGGAAGGAAAGGCGGCTGCCCATGCTTGTTTTGTCGCTTTCTTTTCTCTTTAAAAACGTTCTGGTAAAAGAAAAATTGCAATTGAAATAAAGCGAGAAAAGACTAGGAGGGAAGAGAAAGCCTGGTAATGGAGAGAGAGAGTTCATGTCCAAATGTCCAAATCCCTCACGATAGTAGATTTCCTCGCGAGTGGGTCATTCTGCAAAGTGAATTTTGACAAATTGAGTTTTAGAGGATTGGCACCCTTCCAAAAGAGGCAGAGACAAAAGACAGAGACAAGAACGGTCCACGCTCACTCTGAGGGCCTTCCGCCCAACAGTGGAGGCCCCGTGTGGCGTCCACCGCTGAGGGACCCAGCCTCGGGGAAGTAGAACCAGGGGACAACACTGCACCCCATCTCCTGCTTTGTGCTCCCCAGGAGTCCAGGAGTCTTAATGAATTCTGAATATAGCATGTGATGCTAATTCCAGTGTCCACCCAGAATTCTCTTCCCTCCATCCAGCCATGTGTTCTGCATATACTGGGAATGGAGAAGCATGGAATTACCACGCATCGAGCTGAAGTTCAGCCCAAAATACAAAACAAAATCACGCCCATTCTTCATATACCTTTCTTCTGTATTTTAAAATGAGTCTTCATGAATTCAGATAGACAACACAACTAAAAGCTCATGTAGGAGAGAGAGAAAAAAATACATTCACATTGCTTAAACAGAAGATCAAAGAATGAACAGTTCAGTGAGTAATATTTTTCTCAGTCGTCCCAGTAGTTAGAGGAGTTCAACTCTGGCTGCAACTCCTGCCCAGCTCCGTGGAGCTAACTCTGCTGCTTTGACCTTGGCTGGAGAGCAGGCAGCCAGCTCAGGGAGAAAGGCAGTGACAGAATGAATGAGGTGAGCTCATCTTATTTTCATGGTCCTGATTTTGAAGTTTAAGATGATGGATGGTGGATCCTGTGTCAAATACATAGGAGTCTTTTTCTGAAGTTAGGCTGTAGCTTACTTTTTCTTGTATTTCTTTTGGAAAAGGGTGGTGTTCCTGGGGCTTGAACTCAACACCTGGGCTCTGCCCCTGAGCTTGCTTGCTCAAGGGTTCTTGCTCTTCTACTTGTACCACAGATCCACTTCCAGCTTTTTGGACTTTCCTGTCCCAGCTAGCTTTGAATTGCCATTCTCAGATCTCAGCCTCCTGAGTTGCTAGAATTACAGGCATGAGCCACGAGACATGCAGCTGGCTTATTTTTTTAAGCATCCTCGCACAGTGTTCTGTGTATGTGTGTTTGTATATGTGTATCTTTAATGAGCACTTCACAGTGAGTCAGATTCCTCTCTCCTCCAACTTTTCTCCCACAAGTATATTTGTAAATAGTGGTGAGTCCCTGGGGATAGTTACTAAGATGCCAACTCTATCCTATGTGGTAAACACCGCATAAAAGGAAATTCCCTCAAAAACAAATATCCCTTGTTCCTCCAAAGTATTTAAACATGGAAATCTTGCTGCTTCTCCAATTAAATCTGCAGAGCTTTCTCTAACAGGAGCCTTTGTAAGGAAATTTTGGGAAGATCTTTTCATGTGAATGTTAAGATTTTTTTCATGTGAATGAACTGTATTATAGACTTAAATAATAAAGTAGCTGGAGAAGAAAACAGTAGAAAAGTTAATTTTCTTTTGGGACAAAATAGTCTAGAGACATCTCATGTGTAAGTGAGTGGCATGCTCTGAGAACAGGCTCTCCTCTGCCCTTAGCCCAATGCGGACTGCATGGACGACCTGCCCACCGACTTTGAGGGCTCACTGGGAGGACCGCCGACCAATCAGATCACAGGGGCCAGCGATACCACCGTGAACGAAAGCTCAGTCACTTTGGACCCTGCCGTGCGGACGGTGGGAGCCTTGCAGGTGGTCCAGGACACAGACCCCATGCCCCAAGAAGGTGAAGTCATCTTTACGACTAACAGTAAGTTCTGTGGTGCCTGACAGAGCCATGGCCCTAGGGCTCTGGCCTTGTGGGAACTGAAAGAGGAACCCCTTCCCCAGGCAGCCAACGCAAATCACATGAGTAGATCATGGCCAGGCATACCAGTCATAGCCGCCCGGCTCTTAGAAGCCAGATCATTCCAGAGTCAGCAGGACAGACGGCAGACAGGCTCTGGGTGTCCACGCTCCGGCCTCTGGGGACACCGGGACATTCACCACAGCCCTGGATATGCTCCCCGCCCTTCCCCATCCCCCCAGCAGGTGGGAGAGGGAGCCTGGCGAAGAAGCGACAGCAGGAGACGCTCCGGTGGACACGCAGACTATTTCCTCCTCCTCTGTGTGTGTCCTGCACATGTGTGTTCGCTCGAGCCTCCCAGGAGTGCCTGTGGCTAGGAGAGCTTGTCTGGCGCGTGTACACGTTGCTGTGCGATTCACCTGGAAACGGGACCTCTATTATTTTTATTTAAGAGACAAGGTCTTGCTGCTGGCCTGAAAGCCTGGGTTCTAGCAATGCTCCTGCCCTAGCCTAGCAAGTAGCCGAGACTACAGGTGTGTCCCATCCTATCCGACTTAACACATTTAAGTTTCATTTGGATGTGACCATTCTTCCTCGCATCTCCCGCACAGACTGCCACTGAACCCTGTTCTGTTTGATGGTAGTTACCAAAAACAAATTTTAAATATCTGTGTGAGCATGAAGATTGAAGGTCAAAGCTAAAGTGCCTACTATTTAATTTAATCGAGTAAGAGATAAAAGCTTCAGGAGTTCTAAGAAAAATCAGCATGCAAATTAACTGAGGTTTAAAGTTAAAAGAGTAGGTGGATAATGTAATTTTTAAACAGAGTGCATTGCTTTCTCTTGATAGAAGTAACCTATTCAGTATGGAAAAATGAGAAATATAAAGAAGCAGAATGAAACATCTTGGGATGTTGCCTTTTAAGTCAGCGTCTCATTTTTTATGTCTTTGTGATTTTTATAGATCTAAAAATTATGCTAAAAAGTAAAGATAAGCATTTCAATATTAATTCTTGAAAGATAGGAAGGGAAGAAGGAAGAAGGAAAAAGAAAGAGAAAAAGGAAGGAGGGAAGGAAGGAAAGAAGGAAGGAAGGGAAGGAGGGAGGGAGGGAAGGAGGGAAGGGGAAGGAAGGAAGGAAGGGGAGGGAGAGAAGGAAGGAAGGAAGGAAGGAAGGGAGGGAGGGAAGGGAGGAAGGAAGGAAGGAAGGGAGGAAGGAAGGAAGGAAGGGAGGAAGGAAGGAAGGAAGGAAGGAAGGAAGGAAGGAAGGAAAAGAACCAGAATACCATTATTTAAACGTAGTCTCTTTTTAACATTATGGCCTATTTCCTCACCATCTTTTCTGACAGAGAGCTGAGATAGTCCTATAGAGTTCAAATGCTCTCTAGAAGATTTCAAAGAAGGTAACCTAAAGAGGAAGTGACTTTTAGAGGTGTAAGGACCTCAAAATGGAAACATTGCTCACTAGATAGTTAAACTTCTGATGCCTGTTGAGTTTGCGACAGGTCAACATTGAGGCTAATAATAATGCAATACCAGGCAAATGTATGCCACAGTACAAAATTTAAGAAACACATGCGTAAAGGTCATTTTAATAACATACTTTACTTAATCTAAGAGATCCAAAATATCTTACATTCCTTTTTGATGTCCTATCTTCAAGATGTGGAACACATTTTACGCTTACAGAATATTTTAGTTTAGACTTGCCACTTTCCAAGTGCCCAGTAGCCATGTAACGGGTGGTTACCATATTGGAGAACACAGATGTAGTATCTCAATAATTTAAATAGGAGAAACTTAAGGATTATTATTATTATTGCCAGTATAAACTTCTAATTTTGACCATGAGAAAATTGTGAGCAGAGGATAAAAATGTGTGACCCAAGTCAAATGATAAGTTCCCTTTTTAAGAAGAGGACAGTCTTATGATGTTTCCCTATATTGAAAGCCTTACCTCACACCATGAGACATGTAGTCACACTGATGATTTTTTATCACCAGTTCAAAAAAAAGAAAGAAAACTTTAAGACATGAGCATTTTTTAGGACTGTAAGAAGAACAAAATAAAAATTGGATGATTATCCTTACAATTGAATGATGACTTGATTTTCAAGAGATAATGTGTCATCTCTTAGATTCCTCATTTTGAAAAGTGACCGCATATTTCATACATCTCAGGAAATCGCAGAGGACCTAAAAGCATTTTAAATTCAGTGTGGATTAAATAACGTCCCAAATGAAATCGATGTAAGTATGCCCATCATGGATTAACAGCCAAAAAAATGAAATAGAAAATTACGGTCTGTATCTGACTCCTCACCTGTGAGCTGTTTGGACATAAAATACAGCTAGTGTTGAAGTTATAGCAGGCAACCGTTAGAGCTTATTAAATATAAATAAGCCTGAAGCCGAACCTTTAGTTTAGAACAGGAGCAAGCTAACAGGTATTTTCAAAGGAAGGGTTGAAGATGCAGAGAGAATAAACAGTATCTAAAGTCAGGAGCCTAAGTCGAAGGTGAAGAGTTTGCCTCGTTCCTCCTTGCCCTTGTCCATTTCTACCCCCTCTCTCTTTTCCTGGTGAGTAGAGCTTGCATGCTTGTAGGTCCAATGCACATCAAAGACATGTCAGCACTTTCAGGGGGAGGGTGGGAACAGACTGTGTTCAGAGGGAAGATGAGAAGATCTGACATTAGAAAAAAAAAAAGTTCCATAAGGAAAAGAAAAGTAATTACAAATCCAAGAAAACCCAAGTCTTCCAAGAGGCATCTTGGAAGAGGCATTCTTGCTTATGTGTTTTTAAACATTTCTGACATCCTGTCTTCTGTAACCTCATGTGGCAATCAGGATCCCAGTCTTTCTCCTCCCTGTCAGTGCGGAGGGCTGAGTGCATGAATTCCCACATGCCACTCAGCAGCTTTTATCTGCAGGCCCAATCATGCCAAAACATACTTTGCCTCTGACTCCCCAGCTTTGGCTGAAAATTACTGTGCTTGCTTCTACATGGAAAATAGTTTCCTAGGAACAAAGGAAAACATAGCTAAACAAATAGCCCTGTGTCTTTGGAGACTCCTGAGTGGAGGTAGAGAAAGACCCTAAGGGAGCCTTTATTAACTCACAACCCTAGAGTGCCACTCCACATCACGTGGGGGCGGGGGCCCTAGAAACTTCCCTTTATTGTTCAAGGAGATTGTAGAATCCACCAGCCATTTCCTTCTTTCCCTACCAATGTCCTGTGGTATTTCCTAAAGATCATTACCATTTGCCTTCCATCTCTAATTGGAAAGAAACCACTGTAGATGCAAGGGATGGGAGTAGAGAGAGGTAGAATCAAGTCCGCCTGCAGGACATTCTGAAAAGCAACTGACAAGATGCATGTGGCCATGTCTAGTCTTTGAGCTTTCCAGATTGGAAAATAAATCACAGGAATTAGTATGGAGGCTAGTAATTCACTGGCTAGGTGAAATGCAAGGTAGTCCAAGTCTCTGGGAAATGTCTTCTGCCAACGCTCTGTCAACTCTGGTCCTCGAGGGAAGAGTTGTGCGTCTACTGTATTGAACACACATGGCTGGTGACATCGCCGAAATGCATCTTAATTTTGCTGAACTGACACTGAGAATGCATCAGTGGGTGCGATGTTCCCACACCTGGATGAAAACTCCAGCGGGCTCAGGAGCTGCCTGTTTATTCTTAGGTAACTGACAGTTCTAAGAGTCCCTTGAGGTCCCAAACACAGACACCAAACAAGTTTATATTTCTGACGAGCCTCAAACACTGGCACAAGAGTTCTGATGAGCCCTTTCCCTTCCACGCGCAGCATCTCAGGAGAGAAGGATGTGTGTCGCTGACACACAAGTCCTTCTGCAACCTGCAAGCCTCCAGCTGTCCATTTTGAGCCACTGTCTCCTACAATCCCCTTGCCCATACAGGAGCTCGTTTTCGATAAGACCCAGGTTGACCCCCTGTCTAGCTTGCTCTCCTACCTGGCCACAATGATAGAGACACTCACAGATCACCTCTCCCAGTCCAGCAGGACCCTCTGTAGACAGAGGAGAAATCCACATCCACCCTTGGCTAAAACAGAACGCTTAAGCGTTTCTAAAGTTTGAGTCCAGTGTGGCTGAATCCCACCTACATTGACCCCACCTCCAAACCCCTCAGGAGCATCCTTCATAGACCTAGAGATTGACGAATATCCTTTCCCAACCCATCAGCTGCAGGAGGAGATTCACCATGACAGCACTCTATCCAAAGACAAGCTTCATGCCAGTCATCTGCCTTCTACCGCTCTCCTCTTTTCTCATCTTTGCAGATCATGGGGTCACTGCACAGGTTTCCTTCGTATCCATTGTCCATCTCAATAGGAGAGTGGTGGACCAGGAGGGTGGTGAAGTAGGAGAGTTGGTCTCCTATTTCTTTGATATCGATACCTCTTCAGGAGAAATTGAGGCAGGGAAAGTCCTATCGAGCATGAAAGAATTCGTTTCTGAGTGCTTTTGTGATCTTTGCCTGAACATCGTCGTTTTAGCTGGTGTCACTGCCTGAACTGAATTTCCTTTTTTAAAGAAGCTAGAGATATTAAACTCTTTGGGATTAGAATACTTTTGTTTATACAAATAGGTAATGGTATGTGTACGCATATGCTCGTATTCTTCAAAGTGTGTGCTGACAAAAATACCTGCTGTGGCCTGGCTGGAGTCATTGTTTTTGTCAGCTTTAACAGCCCTTGTGTTGGGCACACAGGACTCCCCGGGGACACACATTTCAAACTAATTATGGAAAATGAAAAAAAAATTAAAAAGTTCATTCAGAGACTTGTGTTTAGTCTCTGAAATGACCCACTTTCTCTGACTCAGGGAACTCCGTGGAAACCTCTGGAGATTCTTCACTGCTAAACACACACTCATTTAAGTAAGACCAGAAGTGGATTCACTCCCATTTTCTACAGCCCGTGTTTCTTGGGAA